ATCACGTAACTGCTTCAAATACAAAATGGGGATACTAATGACAGCTCCTTCAATTGTCTTCCTAACTCTCGGTCATGGCCATACCATGTGTCCAATTGCTCAGGTCAAAAGCCTCAGAGTCATCCTCAACTCCTCTGTTCTACTCACACGCCACACTCAGTCCTGCAGCCCCATCACTCCCAATACGTCCTTCATTCTCCTGGCCATCATCCCCGTGAGCCTGTAGTGTTGCAAGAGCCTCCTAACAGGTTTCTGTGCCTCTGCCCCATCCCTGCTCTCTATTCTCGGTTAAAATGAAGTCAGATCCTATCACTCTTCTCAAAATAGCTTCCAGTTCACTCAAAGCCAAAGCCAAAGCGCCCATGAGGGCTTCATAGAACACCCTGTCTGTATACAATGTTGGCCTACGCAGTTTACTCTTCATCATGCCTTTGCCTTCTCTCCTGCTCCCCTTCCCGTCACCGCATCAGGACCTTTGCAGTATCCAGCGCTTTCACCTAGAGTGCACTTACCCTAGACACATGCCTCGGCAATCCCTTGTCGCATTTCTTCAAGTCTTCGTACAACAGTCACTTGCTCAACGCTTCAGAAAAATGTCACTTGCCCTTCCTGAGGACTCTGTGGTACATCTCAATCTCCTTTGCAAGATCTCCCAGCCCCTCCTCTGCTTCTCCTTTCTCCTCTTCAGCACTTACCATTATCTCACACAGTATATAACTTACTGTTTACTGTGTTTGCTATTTTTTTACCTGCCCCTTGCCTCTACACACACACACACAAATGCAAGTAAACTCCACAAGGTGAGGAGAATTCTGCTTTTTGTCTGCTAATAAATAGTGTGCAACACATAGCAGGTACTCAATATATTTTGTTGAATAAATGAAAGAAAAAGTAGAAAAGAACAAATCAATATAGTAAGCACTTTTGAGTCCTTTATGTATATGAACTAATTTGTTTTCATGAAACCTAATGAGGTGCTTTTACAGAGAAAATTCTACAACTCAAAACAACCACTACCACCTAATGAGGGATGCACCATTATAATTCCCACGGGACACTGAAGGACCCGAGGTTACACAATCTACCCACGGCCACACAGCTCAAAAGGGAAAGGGCAGACTGCAAGGGACCAGAAAGCATATGCTCTTCTGCAGCACTGACCACGTGTAAACCAGGAGTTCCTCTACTACAGGGTCGTGTAAAAGATAAAGCGAGATGATGCGGGGAAGTGTGTCGCACAGCAAGCATGTAAGTGGACCACAATGTCAGCTGTTTGGTGGCACCGTGCTGTGCGCGTGCATCTGCTTGAAAAGTGTGGGCTCAGAAGAGAGGAGAGCTAGGTGTAGACATTTAAAAAGTAGTGTCGTGGCATGGATGTAGTGGAGACCCAAAACCCACCTGTAAGATAACGGGACGGTCCCTCACAGAATGGTCCCGTGGAAGGAAGGATAAGCCCACGGTGTGGTGTGGCACTGATGAACCACATATCTATGCTCCAGTTCTTTAATATTTCCTCCCCTTACTACTATGGTTTTTTCTTTGTTTTACCTCATTAATCATGCTAGATTTACATATGTTCACTTGTATAAGATCATTCGGTACATGAAAGTCAAGATAGATAGCCCTTCGGAAACAGTAACAGGAGTAAAGGTTCCCTAAAGGCATGAGAAGAAAGGGGGTCGGGGACAGGGAGCTGATAGCATTGATGACTGTATAACCCCAGTCGATGGGATTGAACAAAAGAAGGGTATGTGAATGGATTTACTGGATTGTGAAAGATACAGTGCGCATGCACACACACACAATTATGTAAAATAATAATAATAAAGGTGCCTGGAGGGTAGGGTGGGAGAGGGAGGGAGCAAAGGGCAGCTGACATCAAGAAGTTCAAGAAGAAAATGATTCGAAACTGTGGTAAAAATTGGACAATACTGCTTCATGTGATTAAACTGTGGAATGTTACGATAGCTGAAAGAGCTCCCAATAAAATGATTTTTAAAAGCTTTTAAAAATAAAAATCAGTGTCATGAGGTCTGCATTGTATCCAGAAAACCTTCTTAAAGAAAAGAAGCTACAGAGTAAGGAAAGGACTACAGGAGAGAAAACTTGGGAGATCCTAACTCCACTGGCATCACTCTGTTGTCATGAGTAGACTTAGCCTAGACTCAAGGATATACAGGCGGGTACGCCTCATATAACCAAAATAGACTAGCTTGCATTTCTTCTTAGACATACACAGTAGAAGTTATTTTATTAAATGTTATGAGGTAACTAAAGAGGACACTATGGCTCAGTCTAAAATGGAACAGGGTCTTAAATAAAAACTAAAACTTTGAAATTTGGTATTAGGATAATGGATTTTTTTCCCCCATTTAGTCAAACGTGGAATTTATAAATAGCCAAATAAGGAGCACGGCAGAAATGTATGTAAAACACCTGGGGCCACGGCTATCAAAAGATACAGCATCTGGGGTCTTAAAGGCTTGAAGATAAACAAGCGTCCATCTAGCTCAAAAGAAACAAAGCCCACATGGAAGAAGCACACCAGCCTGTGTGATCAGGAGGTGTCGATGGGATCAGGTATCAGGCATCAAAGGACAAAAAAACTTATCATTGTGAATGAGGGGGAGTGCAGAGTGGAGACCCAAAGCCCATCTGTAGGCAACTGGACATCCCCTTACAGAAGGGTTGCAGGGAGGAGACAAGCCATTAAGGGTGCAGTATAGCACTGATGAAATATACAACTTTCCTCTAGTTCTTTAATGCTTCCCCACCACCACCACCAGCCAATTATCACGATCCCAATTCTACCTTACAAATCCGGCTAGACCAGAGGATGTACACTGGTACAGATGGGAACTGGAAACACAGGGAATCCAGGACAGATGAACCATTCAGGACCAGTGGTGAGAGTGGTGATACCGGGAGGGTGGAGGGAAGGTTGGGTAGAAAGGGGGAACCGATTACAAGGATTTACATATAACCCCTTCCCTGGTGGACAGACAACAGAAAAGTGGGTAAGGGGAGACGTCGGACAGTGTAAGATATGACAAAATAATAATAATTTATAAACTGTCAAGGGTTCTTGAGGGAGAGGGGACTGAGAGGGGAAAAAATGAGCTGATACCAAGGGCTCAAGTAGAAAGAAAATGTTTGGGAACGATGATGGCAACAGATGTACAAATGTGCTTGACACAATGGATGTATGTATGGATTGTGATAAGAGTTGTAGAAGCCCCCAATAAAATGATTTAAAACAACAACGAAAACACCTGGGCCACATGCACACACACACACACACACACACACAAACCCAGGAATCATTTGTTCAATGCTGTTTTCTGAAAGCTAAGGGACTGGTTCATAAGTATGAGAAAATACTTGGAAAGCGAACAGAAATGTTAAGTGGTCCCATTCCCACAGAGAACAGAGAGACAAGTTCTCTAAAGCCCCTACTAGTGCAGTGGTTCTCAACCTTCCTCATACTGCGACCCTTTAATGCTGTGCCTCATGTGGTGGTGACCCCATATGTGGGCTTATCTGCATGTGGGCAGACCCACCTGGAGAGAAGGTGTGGTGTCTCGTTCCCAAGACCATTGGAAATATGGCCTTAGGGGATCCCTGTGAAAGGGCCACTGGATGCCCAAAGGGGTCCTAATCTGCAGGTTGAGAACCACGGCCCTAGAGGGTGAGACATCCATTTTTACAACCTGAAAGGAGTCTTAAAATATTCTCCAAGAATAGCTTAAGGAAAAAGATGGTCCCACCACTTATAAAACTATGCCCTCCAAAGGACAACTCAATTTTCAACCTGTGGTCAGAGAAGAAACTGAAGTAAGCATTCTGAATCTTAAAATAAAACCTATCTATACTGTGGCTTTCTCAGATTTCTCTCTTTTTTTTTTCATCAACAGGGACCAAACATGAAGTCCCAGTTCCAGAAGTTCAAAAGCTCCAAATTCTAGGCTTTGGGAAGAGTCGGTATGAACACTCAATATCTAGCTGTAGTTATATATTTTTTTCATGCCTACAAAAGTTTGTTTTATATCCATTTAAATATTTCCAATATATTTACAATGTAAACTGAGAACCTTTGGGGGGAAATACAATAACACAAGAATTTTATTGTTAAACCTTCCACAGCGAAATATAAACAGAAACGCTACCACTAAAGAACAAGATTCAGAATTTGAAACGGTAAATTCGCCTGCTATGTACTACACTTGCTTTTTAACCAAAAGGGCTACTTTCTCTAATTTAAAACACACGTGTGTACTGAAATTGATTGAGCAAGCGGATGTTCACCCCGAAATGCTCAAGAAGCATGTTTTCTTACCATCCTCTAGCGTGTTCCGTGTCACATGGTCAGACATCTGGCTGGCTCCCATTGGCATGTACGCCACAATGTAGAAAGTGTAATTGCTGGCAGGTTCTAAGTCATCAATTATATAATGAGTCGTGTCATTTCCGATGACTACTTGGTACTCTTCGTTATTTAAACCTAGATTTGGAGAATCAGAGTTTACAAATTATGAATAGTCAAATTAAAACAGAAAAGACTACCTTCCCCTCACTGTGAAACACTGGTTCTAGGATCTAACCCCTACCATTGTTGTTGTGTGCTGTCGAATCCATTGTGAATCAGGCTCTGACAGAATCATAGAACAGATCCATCGGGTTTCTACTTTTAATGCGACTTTTAAAAAGGCGGAATGACTCATCACTCACTCGTTTACTGCCATGGAGTCGATGCTGACTCACAGCAACTGTGCAGGACACCGCAGAACTGCCCTGTGCGTTTCCCAGGAGTAGACAGTCCCATCTGTCCCCTGCCCAGCAGCCCAGCTTGTAACCAATACACCACCAGGGCTCCCAAAACGCAGAAAGGCAGGTCAAATTAGTAATGTGCCGTTTTGCTGACTAAATGCACCTGAAAATAATTAATCCTCTCCAAATGCACCTGAAAATAATCAAGCCTCTCTGGCCCTCATCTGGGAGCTCTGGGAACACAATGCTTACACGCTGGGCTCCTGACCACAAGGTCAGCAGTTTGAAACCACCACCTGCTCAGTGGGATAACGCAGCCTTCTACACCAATAAAGATCCCCAGCCTTGGAAACCCACAGGGGACAGTTCTACCTTGTCCTATAAGCAGGATGCTGATGGCAGTGAATTTTTAGTTTAACCCTCACTTAACATCCAGTCAAAGCATGCAGCAGAACTCCTGTCCAGTAGAATCCTAACAGAAAATTCTAATTCCTAACAGGGCACCTGTTGATTGCTTAAACTCATTTCTTCTTCTCCCCCCCTAAAAAAAACGGAGTGCAAGGACAGCAGGGAATGGAAGGGCACTACATTGTACAAAAACAAACCCAACCAAAAGTTAGCCTGCATAAGATCTCATTCTACCCCCAGAGATTCTATTAAATCTGACTGACACGAGTTGTTCTTTTATTTACACTGAAAGCCAAAGAGCTGGGAGAAAGTGCTGTGAAAAAGCTTCTTCCTCCCACACTAAGCTTTTCTTGTTTTTGAAAGGGGGGCGGGGGAGCCTCGGCAATTCTTAATAAAATATGCATGGCAAGGTATAGAAAGGATTTGTCTTTGTGGAATTAAATTCCTACAGAGCGACCCTGTAAAGTGGAACCAGAGTGCTGGCAGCTACCGCACTTTGCTGACAATTCACAATAAATGCATGTCAACCTAATCAAAACCCTCCAAGGACAGAGCCCCTTCTCACCACTGGATTTATAAACAAAACAGAAGGCAAATTCCACGATTAAGTTTTCCCACATTTCTGAATTAACTTGATAGCATTTTAATTAGACAAGATTACAGGCATTTCACAACAGACTGGCTAATGGCTTGTTAATTAGGAGCCGCATAGTACGATTTCTGACCTACCAAACAAGGTCCTTGAGTTCGAATTAAAAAGGCTTGTTCTGCCCCTGAATAGACCACTGAGCCACATGTGGAGGCTCTAATGAAATAGCCACAATAGTGAACAAGAGTGGTCTCCACCCGAACCAGCATTCCTTTTACCTCCTTAAAGCACTAAAAAGGGAATTAACATAGTCCACCATGCTCAGTTATCAGACTTTCCTTCTTCTTGCTACCGTGAACCCTTATTTAAATTCAAAATATTCCTTTTCAAGACTACTTCAAAGTACACACACACACAAAACCCTCCCCCCAAAAAACCAAGCAACAACAAACCACCTGTTTCTACAGTCAATTTTATTATGTCACCATTCTTTGAATGTTTGTTTTTCATGTATACTGCATAGAAAGGGGGCTGCTTCTGGGTAGAACTACACTTTGTAAACCTCCACCATGTTCCTATGAGAAATTGAGGGAGGCATCTCCAGGTTTAGAGATCGCTTTTCTTTTTTATCCTCGAAAATTGTCTCCTAAAGAAAAATCTAAGGATAAAATAGGTTGTAAAAAACGGGATCAGTAATTCTGAGTGAACTTTGTAAGAGAGAGGTGACTTGTACTTTTGGGGAAGATAAACATGAGTTACACCCCTATTCTTATGTAACTGCATACTTAAAGTATTACATTAAGTCCCAGTTAAGGAATCTATAGCTTTGCTGGAATTAATTTTTTCAATACGCTACTGTAATTTTTAGCTGGTGTTCCTTTATAAAATCAGAAAAGGCTTGAACTGTAATTATAACACAAGTATACAACAAGGCAAGGTGTACCTAACGCATGAATAAACAGGGGATCCTTGATTCTGTTAGAAGAGGTAAATGTCAGAGAATTTCAAAAGCATTATTTTGGACAATGTCAGATGCCCTCTGTACTAGAAGACAAACCCTTGCCAGCGAGTAGCACTTACAAAGTCTTGAACCTGCTCACCTTCTGCTTTCATGTAGTGCACAGAGTACGCGATGACCTTGTCTGAGTTATACAGTGGCCGCTCCCACGCTAGAAGGATGGCTGAACTTGACATCGTTTCTGCATGCACGTTATAGGGAGCACTGGGCCTGTCTTCTGACATTACTACGGTCAGTCTAGCTCTAGATAAAACCGATCCTTGGCTATTCTCCGCCATGCATTGATAAATAGCATCATCTTCAGGGATGATCTGGTTAATTACCAATTTACTGGAGAAAGAAAAAAAATTATTATTTCCATGTAGTATCCTAGATCATGACAAAAGTAAAGCTCAGCTATTGTTGGATACATACTCATTGTATTTTTCTCTTTGGAAACGTTTTGGTTTTTTAACTTTTCACTGCTGAGTTGGGTAAAGGTTTTCAGACCAGTGTTATCTGTTTTACATTCAACAACTCATACTCATTTTGCTTCAGCTCATTGATCACAGTCCTCACAATGTAACATCAAGTTCCCTATCTCCTCCCTGTGTTTACTGTTTCCATCCTTCCTTATTTCCTGACCACTCTCTCATTTTACTGGATAAAAATCACGGAGAACAAAAACCATGTGATGAGTGCCAAGTGAAAAAGCTTCTTTACTTAAACTAATGACTTTAATTATTTTCTGAGTCTACCTTAGAGAATTTGTCATATCCAAATCCTGTGTGTTTTAAGTGACAGCTTAAATTCTTAAAAATTTGGTTTTTAATGGGGGAGGGAGCACTAGAACTGATTGTGATGATGTGTACACAACTCTCTTTAAAAGTCACTTAACTATGGAAGTGTGTGATATGTAAAAATTATATAAAAAGAAAACTACTAAAAAATGAAACTACTAAAATTTTTTGGCATTTGTTAACAAAGTATATTACTTTGTAAACAAAACTGTGTAAAAACTTGTTCCACATGAAAGAAAATGGGTACAAGAAAATTCTTATTTATAGCATTAACAATTGAGTTCTTAAAATCATGAAGTTTGAACTGAAGAATACTTCCTGGAGAGCGATTGTTTCTTCCAGTGCCCTCCCTTTTATGATCGGAGTGGAGGCTACACAAGGTCAATGGGTTTACATGTGGTAACTGAGTGGCTGTACGCAGACTAGAACCCTGGTCTGAGGACCTGCCCAAGATTTACTTCATTATAGCTTAGTGATACAGGCCACTTCTATGAGCCCTATGAAAAACACAAAGCAGTCTATGGTGTGCGCAGGTTCTGTTTTTTAAGTGATCGTAGACCTACCAAGATTATGAAGGTGTTTCAGGTGATCCCATATCCATTTCACATAAAAGTGACTGAAGCCATTTAATTTTATGTAAAACAGGAACAAAGGGATACAACCCACCTGTTGTACATTTTAATTCTACCATTGGAATGGATCTTCCTTCCATTTTTCAACCAGGACATCTTGGGTGAGGGGATTCCTTCTGCTTGGCATACAAATCGAGCAGTGCCGGCTCGAGGCCTCGTTAGACTTTCTGGCCACTCAACAAACGAAGGAGGCGCTAATTTTTAAAGAAAAAAAAATCTGAGTTTCCAAGAGGAACAACAAAGCACCTGGGACCAGCGCAACAAATGATCCAACAAGTCTCATGCTAGTGCATCGCGTCCCCGCTGATGCTCCTCTGCGTCTGTCAATCCAGATCCCTGCCCTCGCCTTGCTCAGTTACCTGTCCACTCCCCCCAGACCTTCCCTGCTGAGACTATCTGCCTAAGCATATGGAAAATACATCAACCCAAATGTGACTTGACTAAAACCCCACCTGCAGCCACTTGTGTCCGCAGACAATGGGCAGATTCGTAGAAATTTGGCTTGGTGGCTGAGTATATGAACGTGTATGAGGATTACTTGGATAAAAGCTTCCACAGGAAGAAGGGAATGGCCAACAGGTAGATAGGATGATGATTTCAGGAGGATTCTGTATCTTTATTTTAAAACAGTGCTTAAATTTTCACCTGTAATTCATTACGGGGGTCACCTGCCTTCCTGTCACTGCTACAAAACTCAAGAAATGTGAAAGTAAGTTATAGATGACGTAAAAACTGCAAATGTTAAAATGCAAGAGTCTCTTGATTACAAGAAATAAAAGACAACACACCTAACACAGTCAACGTTGCCATGGCAACCGTGAAGTTCCGTGTACCCGGGGTCGTGGCCCGGCAAACATACACTCCGGCGTGCTGCAGCCTGACCTCTGATATCATGAGATTGCCATTTCCAAGCACCCGGGTATTAAAGACATCAATGGACTTGTGATCTGTTTCAAAGAGGAGACGTCCGTTAAAACAGTGCTGTGATGTGTGATCCAAAATGTCATCAGTAGACCGCTGTTTAAACAATACCATCATGACGCGTGCATGGCTCTCGACACTAAAACTCTCTAAGCACACTGAAATGCCAAACAACGAACAATGACACAGTCGCCACGCATGTGCTTTGTATGTAAAACAAACATCTCTCAGGCTTCCCGCGAAAGAACGAAAAACAAGGAAAATACCTAATATTTGTTCCCCCTGAGATGACTCACCAAGACGGCTCCACGAAATGATTGGTCTGGGATTTCCTGTGGCCATGCATTCCAAAACAACTGTGTGATGAAGGGAGGCTGTTACGTTGTGCGGCCCTGCAATGATGGTTGGTGTGTGGAAGGGCTTAGACTCCTTAGCTACAGGGAGCAGAGTGGGGAAAGAAGACAGAATATAAAAATAAAACTTCAGGTAAGCGCCTGAAAATAAAATGGGTGAGAATGACTCCTCCAGAGTCAAGACACACTCTGACGAAGGTGACAACGGCACTATTTATTTTCACTAATCTTGTTAAGGGTTTATGTGACAGAGTGGGAGACGTGTGCCCGCCTTTATCTTTACCGGTCGTTACCAGACACTACCTAGAATAAAAATTCTTCATGAAAAATAGAACTTCACCTCTTAGGGTTTTCTTTCCATTTTAAACCCTTAACTATCTTTGAAGAAATCTGGTGAAGTTCAACAAGTTCAGTTTTTATATCCAGCGAGGTTCGAGGTAATTTACATTGCTTTAAAATTAAAGCTAACATCAGGCTGTGATACCATTTTAATTAAAAAAAATGTATCTCTTTCATGATATTCATTAATCTACCTAGATTTTTATCTAGCTACGTGTATATGGTAAAAATATAAACTTTTGTTCACTTAATGTTAACAATGACAATTTCTGGATGTTGGGGTTCATGATATTTTCATGATATTTTCAAGCATCTACATCATTTAATTTTTTTAATAATAAGGATGCATTACTTTTATCAAAGAAAGTAATGACTTTTCCTTATGCAGCTGCAGCAAAAAAGCTAGCAGGTCACAAAAATCTTTGTTGACGTGGGCAATTATGGTACAAAGGGGTCATTATTTTTCTCATTTTTGGTACTTGTTTACATTTTCTAGGTATAAAACAAAATTCCAACCATGCTTAAAGATTTGCCATAACATAAAACAGGTTAGCTAGCAACCTAAAACAAGTGAGCTATTAAGAGCAGCTAATTTCTTCATATGAAATTTAAAAAGCCGCTGACAGAGCCCTGGTAGCATCTAGGGCTCCGCGTGGTGCTGCAGACTACAAGGTCCCGAGTGGCTCCCGAGGGAGAGCGCAGGGACTTCCTGCCTCTGTGAAGATTTACAGCCTTGAAAACCCAAAGGTACAGCTACGAGTCCGAACGGACTCAACGGCCAGGGTGGATTTATTACAGCCAGAGGAGAAAAATATTGCTGGGCCATAAGGAGTCACAAAGATCGGAAGAAAAACCCCCCAAAACAAAAAACCCTCTGTGTGGTACCTGGAATCACCATCAGGGAAGCCTCCATACTTTGACGTCTGTGGGCTACTGTAGTAGCAACACAGCGATAAAGCCCAGCATCCTTTTGGCCAACATCATAGATCTGCAATACCCCTGTTGGTAGGGCAGTTATTCTGTTAGGAGAAAAAGTACCATTAAACTTTTTGTAGTAAATTTTGTATTTTACTTTGAAATGAATGGGTTGAAATGGGTTGGCACGCCCACCTTTAAAAAAGTATTATTGCAATACTTTTGAGGTTGTTTAAATTAGCAGCTTGAATCTATTGTTGCCACTGCAATCTCTACGGCTCTCTGAGCATAAATAATTCCGCGGTGTGTGTGGTTTGACACTTTACTTTCGGTTTAGTTAAATGGGTGGTCCAGAGTTCAGTATGATTTTTTGAAGTTCCTGATTTCTTTCCTGTTAATGTACTCTCCCCTATATGTAACTGAGAAACTACTGCATTGAGTAATGTCTTCCATCTGAGTGTGCTATTGTTGTAGCAAATGATTTTTTCCCCCCGTAGGAATCTTGCTGAGGAGCTCTAGTGGTGTAGTACTGCACTGTGATCTGTGTGGTTGGCAGTTCGAAACCACCAGCAGCTCCTCGGTGCTCCTACTGTCTTACGTCCATGAACAGTTTACTTACAGTCTCAGAAATCCACAGGGTGTCGACATTAACTCCATGACAGTGAGTGTGTTTTGGTTTTGGAGGAATATTGCTACTGACTAGGACAGGATTAAAACTTGTTGAAGTTGCTACTAAGTTCCTGATCCCCACCCTCAACGCTCTAGGTACGCAAGTGGAGTGTGTATACAAGCTAGAAGCAGGGGGTTTGAAATGAAAGGCAGAGACAGGAGTAGGAAAGTACCAGAGTTTACACAGGAAACTCTTCCATCAGCACTGCTATTTCCACAAGAGAAGATGCATTTTGACTTCTTAGAACCTTGTTACCCTTGGCCCTACAGGTGGAAATGATAGAAGAGGAAAGAAACCAAGCAGCAGGAGAGTTGATCTGAACTCTGCTCCGAGCCCCTCACCGCCCCATTCCCTGACAAAATCTATGCCCCATGTGCCACAGACTGATGATGTATTTCTTTTTTATGTTTGAAATGCTTTCAGAAACTGTTATTACTACACTACAATGAAATGAGCTTTCCAATGCTCTTCCTTCATGCCGCATTATGATGAGTCATTGTCACTATACTTGTAACAACCCCCAAAGGTGTATTTACCTGTCCAGAGCTATAGGTAGAGTTGTCTGATTTAATTCCCAGGTTATGGTTGCAGGAGGGGTTGAGGAAATCTTGCACGCAAATCTAGCAACTCCACCTTCGTGGACCTCAGTGGATACTGGCTGAACTTCAAATGCAGAAATAGCTGTAAGATAAAGTTTGACAAATTCAGAATGCATGACAGCTATATTTGAAAATGACATTATATGAGGCGGTACCCCCCCCCCCCAAAAAGATGCTCGTTTGTGTTTTTTTGTGTGAAGGGGATAGTGTATTTGGAGTTTATTCCACCAGGGCAAAGTTAATCAAGCTTTCTATTTAGAGGTTCTGAGAAGACTGTGTAACAGTGTGTGACAAAATAGCCCTGATTTGTTGCAGATGGGGGACTGGTTTTGTCACTAAGACAACGCACCTGCTCCTGCAGCCACATCAGTGCGCCAGTTTTGGCAGAAAACAGCATGCCTCTCTTGCCCCACACAACTTACTCACCTGACTTCGCTCCTTGCAACTTCTTTTTTGTTTCTGTGAATGCAGAGAGACACGAAAGGACAGCGATTTGACAATGCAGAAGAGGTGAAAAAAAACTTGAGGGAGGTGCTGTCAGCCATCCAAGCAGAGTTAGTTTGAAAAATGTTTCCAAGAATGGAATTGCAAATGTGACAAATATATTAAGTATAATGGAGAGTGCATTGAAGGTGATAAGGTGGTTTTATAAAAAAATTTTAAATACACAGCTTTGAAAAAAACAATGTTGGTGGTACCCCCTTGTATAATCACATAGTTAAATATGTGGTACATGTGTCAAATATTATTACACTTTAGTGGAGAATAAAATTAATACAGATGGGTCCGCCAAATAAAGACCACTGGCAGAAATTGGTTTTGAATAAGCTTTAGAAGACAGTTCATTGGGTGTAGATGGAAAGGAGTGACATGAAGGCAAGCATAGAGGCAGAAATGGGCAGGTTGTATTCGCAGGACCATGCGGAAACGGCCAATACGACTGTACAATAATTGATGGCTGTGCAGAGATAAAGTGGATTTGTATCATGGTACAAATGAAGGTGTCACTGAAGATTGGTTTTTGCAAAGGACTATGGTGAATAGTAATGTCTGAGGAAAACTAATGAGGCGTTGCTGTACAGGATGGAGTGTAGAAAGAGACCCTTGACCCAGGTCAGTAGTCCAACAACAGGGTGTTTCAATGGGTATGGAGAGATTCTAGGGGTATTTGGAAGTTTAAAAAAAGACTGGGTTCTTACTGGTCACAGAGTTATGATTCTCTACGTCTGGACTCCAATGAGGTCAATATTGATGGTGCAGAATGAGGAAATGGAAAAGAGAGAGGGATTTCTGATGCATAAAAGATAGAGAAATGCACAAGGAAGAGGAGCCAGTCAGGGTACAGTGTAATGATGATGAAACATACAACTTTCCTCTGGTTCTTTAATGCTTCCTCCCCCCACTATCATGATCCCAATTCTACCTTACAAATCCGGCTAAAGGGGGAACCTATTACAAGGATCTACATATAACCCCCTCCGTGGGGGACAGACAACAGAAAAGTGGGTGAAGGGAGACATTGGACAGTGTAAGACATGACAAAATAATAATTTATAAATTATCAAGGTTTAATGAGGGAGGGGAAAAATGAGGAGCTGATACCAAGGGCTCAAGTAGAAAGTAAATGTTTTGAGAATGATGAGGGCAAGAAATGTACAAGTGTGCTTGATACAATGGATGTACATATGGATTGTGATAAGAGTTGTATGAGCCCCCAATAATATGATTTTTTAAAAGGTGGAGAAATGTAAGAGATCATTTTTAAGCTCGTGTGTTTCTAAGGCAGAGATAAATCTTGATGTGCTAATATTTCCACTAGAGATCATTCTTCTTGACCACTCTAGGCAAGCCTCCATGAACCAGTCTTTGGACTTGTTGTTTTTATACTTTGAAAGAGTCCAGACTCCAGAGAATAGTTTGGGTTTCCTCCCCTCTACTAAATCTTCTAGGATATAAAGAAAGGACCTCACTTGAGCCTTCTGCCTCCTCCTCAGAATCCAGATTAAAAAGTACAATGACTTTATAGTCTATAAATAAATAGGGTAATTATGGAAAAAGTAGAGGGAATAAGGTCTAAGTAGGTATATGCTTCATTAGGCTGAAGGATGGTAAAAGTGAGAGAAGACTAACACATTCTGCCTTCGAATTCCTCCATTTATGTACGGATGGATTACAAACCTTTAGAGGACAAGGAGAAAGGCAGTGAATAATGGTGAAGTTATTCTTAGGAGAATTTACTTCCAAAAAGAGTGGAATGAGGTTAAAGTAATTATTTGTGTATAGAATGAAATGTTCTGCTTCCTCAAGAACAGGTGTTCTTTTATATACAAAGCCAAAAGCACGAGCAACAAAAATTGAACTTTAACAAAATAAACGTTTGTGGCTCAAAGGACATCCATCATTAATAAAGTAAAAAGATAACCTATAGAATAAGAGAAAACATTTAGAAAACACATATCTAATAAAGGATTAATATATTGAATTAAAAAATGGCTTACAAACATGTAAAAGAGTATCACTCCTGTCATTAAACTTCCTTTACTTTGGAAAATATTTTTTCATTAAATGTGCTATATTAACATATAATGGATCAATTTTTAAAGTGCACCAGAGGAATAAAATGTTCAAGAACTACAATTTAAGAATATCAAACTCTAAAATTCAGTACAGTTTTAGGAAGTGCTTTTGCAATCACTTTCTAGAGTGTTCAGTTATTTGTGAGATTTCCTTCTGGTCCAGACATATGGCCCACCCTCTGCTGTTTACCTACTGAAGAATCAGGAAAGAGACAGTTGGGCTCAACCTTAAAAGATCAGGTGAATATTTAGAACATCCTTATTTATCTTAATAACAATTTAAACTTAGCTTCCTATAATTAAACAAACTCACAATGAATCCATTCAAATTTTCAGGAGTTAAAACCTACTTTTCTGAGGGGCCTGCCCCAATCCCAACTACATGGACAGCACCTCCTCCCCGCAGAAGAGTTCACTTCAGAGGACAGCACTGAAGCTACAGCTCAGGGAGAGGGACATGTCTGATCAGAGCACACAGGAGCAAATGAAGGGGGAGGAAGAGAGAGTGGAGCACATCCTGGCCCACCAAGCCTTGAAAACAGTATCCCTGCTCAGAGCAGCCAATGCAGACAGAGG